GAGGAGGGGAGGGGAGAGGAGAGGAAATGCGGACACAGAAGACACAAACCGAACTCGAGGAAGGCGTAGGGCCTGGAGGCGAGGCCGACGCGAGTGTTGTCGAAGGATGCTGTGAATTCCCACCACAGGGTCTCCAGGAAGCAAAAGGCCATGGCTGCTGGGCACCGGCGGGAGCAGATGGCCATGCAGGCCACATTCCCTGCAGAAGAGAAGCTGAAACAGAAGGGCGGAGTCTGCATCCCCAGGAGCCAGGCCACAGCCGCCCACACCCAGCGCGGCTGGCCCAAGCCTGGGCCCCTCAGCCTCGAACAGTCGGGGCTGCTGGTCTCTTCAGAGAGACCGAGTTCTGAGCCTGCGTCTTTCCAGTGTCTGGCGGTGCCAGTCCCCAGCACCATGTGGCTCCGGCAGGCGTGAAGGGCTGCTGTGGTTTTCTGGTTTTTTCCTTTTCTGCTCCTCTTCCAGCTGCCCCCTTCCTCCTCAGTCTGAGTGCTGAGGGCTGCGGCTCACCTGGCTGGGGTGACAACTGACAGGGGTGGTACCTGCTCCTGTTCCCCCATTGTCCACTAAGCTCATCACAGGGGCTTCTCCTCCCTCAGAACCCCAGCCCCAAGCTGCAGCGCATGCTGCCTCCCCCAGGGGCGTCATGGGTCTGGCCCAGACTCTAAGGAGCTTACACTGCTACTGCAGCCCCCAGGCGGCACAGGCACAGAGGCCCATTTCTGAGGTGTGACTGTTTTACCATCGCAGCCGAAGCCCAGGCAAGTGGAGTGTGGCCTCTCCCCGCATCCTGCCTGCAAGACTGCAGCTGGCAGGACTGCTCCTTTCCTCTGTGAGGGTCTCACCCTGACCCCAGCCCCATGCATCCGAAGGCCATGTCCCTGCACAGTGCTGAGGCCAAGCCCCAGAACCTGTGACAGTCACCGGGAGCCTGTGTCACCACACACACACACACACACACACACACACACATTCACCAGCATCCTCTCCCTTCGCCCTGGGGCTTCCTCCAGCTCATCTGTATACTTTGGGAAACTTCCTACTCTACTTGCCCACATTTCTGGGCATTTCCAGCTGGAAGGTTTCAGGCTCTAATGTTCTACATCTTGTTATAGCTGGAACTCCCTACAAAAATCCTTTCTCAAAGGGCTGGGTATTTAGCTTAGTGATTCCACCACCTGCCTTGCAAGCACAAGGACCTGAGCTCAATCCCTGATACACACACAAAAAATCCTTTCTCAGCTTGAAGGACAGGGTGGCTGCCTGGACAGCAGTCCTTCAGAGCGCCTGGCCCCGTCAGGATGGAGCTGTTCCTACAGGACAGAGGGTCCTGCTGGGGGCTGAATGTGTCCCCAAAAGACGGCTGGAGCCCTCCCTCCCAGACCTCTGGATAGGGTTCCACTTGGAAACAGCTGGCAAGATGAAACAAGGTCACTCTGGATAAGGGTGGGCCCTTCTTCTAACGACTGCTACGCTTACAAGAGAGAAATCCGACACAAACAAGGCCTTGCGACCAAGGAGTGCCTGCCAGGCAATGAGACCAAACTGCCACCAGGGGGCAGTGCAGGCACAGGCGAGTCCTCAAAACTGGCATAGGGAGCTGTGCCCTGCCACACGTGGAGCTGACCTCCATCCAGCCTCAGGAGAGAAGGCACTGTCACGGCAGCTCTAGGACATAACCCCTTAACTGTGAAGGGCTATGGTACTGTGCACCTGTAAGAAAAGAAAGTCTCAGCTTCCTCTGTAGAAAGGATGGGGAAGGCTGAGTGTAATGGCACACACCTGCACTCCCAGCACTCAGGAGACCCAGGCAGGAGGAGCGCCAGGAGTTCAAGGCCGGCCTGGGCTACACAGTGAAGTCAGGGCCAGCCTGAACTACAAAGGGAGGCCCTGCCTCAAAAACAAAACAAAACCAAAACTCTACTGAGGCACTCGAGATTTCATTGAGAAGTCACAGGCCCTCATAAGGGGAAGGCGTCCCGTGAGCCACAGCAAGGCGAGGCGGGGAGGGGGACAGCGGGAGGGGAGGAGGAGGCAGAAGAGCGGTCTCAGCTGCACTTACTGTATGCAGAAGTCCCGGCTCTCTGCAGAGCCGCGGCCCGGGTGCCGGGCGAGCTGCACAGCCAGGGCCTTGAGGCGCCGCCTGCACTCCAGGAAGTCCGGGGCGTAGTAGAAGTCGGTGGAGGCTGAGAGGGGCAGTCCGTCCCTCACCCGTACCACGCTAGCGAAGAAGATCATGGACATGGTCCTCGGGCGGAGGCATGGGGATACCTGTGGGCGAAGGACCTGGTCAGCGAGGTCCCCGCCGGCTCTCCTTCACGGGGGCCTTCATTGACCCCTCCCAGGACCCAGGCGTGGGGCTGAGACTAAGGAGAAGGAGCAGCCCAGCACAGAGCGCCCGAGGGGACAGGGAGGGGCCTCAGGGAGAAGGCTCTAAGCAGGTCAGCCGCCCTGCCAGGAGACAGCACCAGACCCTAAGCTGGCGGCCAGGACGGCGGGGCAGGAATGGACCCAGGCGGCACGTCCTCTGGAGCCCTGCAAATGTCTCACAGAGTTCGAAAAGGTGACTGAGTCCCCACAGATGGCTAAAGGAAGTCACTGAGGAAACTGTATTACAGCGAGACGCTAAATATTTAGCCACAATGTGTAAGCATATTACAAAACACAAGGCAACAGATCTGAGCCCTGACGGGGCCTTTGGCAAATTAAAAAAAAAGTGTGGGGGTGTGGGGGAGGTCCGCCCTGCCCAGGCCAGGGGCAGAACCTTCACACCTGTGGGGTTACAGAGCTGGCTGGGACAGCTGTCTGCCATGGGTCTTTCCACCCGTCCAGCCCTGGCACAGATCTGCCTGCCAGGGTGTGGAGAGGAAATGCAGCAAACCCACTTTCCGGGGAACCCTCAGGCTGCAAACTTCCCCAGCATCCACATTCTTCCTCCCTCCAAAACAGGAGCCCGGCAGGCGCACCCCTGCCCCTCCACCGACCCGCAGTCACACTTCCGAGCCCACACCCACACCGCAGTCCACATCAAGGGCCGTCACAGTCCACCCCTCCCAGGACACCTTCCCAGGCTGGCCCAGCGGGACAAACACTCTCCCTCTCCTCCGTGTCTGGGGAGCCTGCCGCTCGGTTCTCAGATCCACTGCCAGAGTGCGTATCTGTCTGCAGTGGGGGAATGGACCGCTGTTCCCTGTACCCAGGCAGAAACTGCAGAGACATACACGGTCATCTGTCCCATCTCCCCACACTGTCTCTCGGCAACTAAAACTGTGAAAAGCTCCAGGAAACAAAACCCCGACCAGCCGCCAAGTTCCAGAAGTGCCGGCAAGGCCAGGCCCACCGCCGGGAGCACCGGGGAATGTACACACACCTCGCAGTCAACGCTGACTCCCCTTGCACTGGGAAGGGACAAGGGAACAGCAGCGTGGAGGCGCACGGTACCATCTGCTACACACTCATGAATGTTTGGAATATTAATTTTTTAAAAAGAGTTATAAGAAAAATGCTTTAAATAAAAAGAGATATAAGACATAAAGTCCTGCGAGAGAGCGGGGGAAATACAAGACCAATTTTAGGGCTTAGGGTCAAAACAACTCCAAAAAGAGCTCACACCAAGCTGTTAAAAGACAATGAGCCATCAAGAAACAGAGAGGATACAAACATTTCACAGCAAAACAAGTCAGGTGTCCTTCGTATGCTCTTCTTCAGGGAAGGAGTAGGTTACTCCACCAGACCCCTCTCAGGCTTCTTAACGGAGCATCTTCTACAAGCCAGACAATGTGTTTAACCCCTAAGAAGGAACAGGTGGCACTGCCAAGGACGGTACCACAAGACCAGTTCTCTCCCGCTCTCTTGCCCTTTGGTGACCAATCCTGCTTTGCTCTAGTCACTAGCATTTAGAAGAAATAAAAACTCTATTTTTCAGGTCTACCAGGCTACTAATACTGCAAACTAGTGAGATGTTAATTTCACCACCTTTACACGTACTTGGGATCCTTAAGTAACGGTGACCTGCAGTGCTGCTACAGGGAGGTGAAATGCGGCCTGCTGGGTCACAGGGCTCAGGGGTTCAGGTGAGGAGCTATCACGACAGCAGACAAGGTGGGTGAGACCTGAATCGAAGAGGACGGGAGTCAAGCTCTCTTCCCTCCCCTCCCGCCAGACACCCCCAGAAGCCTGGACACCGCGCAAGGTGAGCAGGAGGCGACCTGAAGGTGCAGGAAGAGGCGCTTGTCGGGACCAGGGGGCCACGAGCTTGCTCCCTTTCTTCTGCATCATACCAGACTTGGTGTTGGAGAAACCAGCAACACAGAAACACCAGTGAGTAAAGACCCAAGAAGCCACCGCCACCACAACAAAGCTGTGCACTCCAGGACCCGGGAAGGGTTCAGGCCAGCACAGCAGATGGTGTGTCCGCAAAACCACGCTGACCTAGGCAACACCGTGGAAAAGACTGCAGCCACCTCCTGCCTACCAGAGAAGACAAGTGAGGAGCTACGCACGCACCCTGGCCCTGCGGTACTGAGTGCGCCCCCAGGGGAGGGTACCAGACAGGAAGGAGCCACTGCCCTTCCCTGGGACAACAGGCAACAAAATGCCCACCTCCCCACCACAACACCGAGCGGCTCACTGCCCCAGGGTGGGGACAGAAGGAGGGAACCCAGACATTACACCCTCTTGGCAGGAGACTGCACCGCACTTCCCATGCAGGAGCCGTGTCAACAAAGGCCAGCAGAAACATGATTTCTTTTATTAGTCTCACAAGTTTTAACCCACGAGCTGCGCACACCGTGGTCCACTGATCACAGCCATCTATCTTACCTTCTACCCTCTTTCCTCCCCAACTGCCCCAAGTCTAGCAGCACCTCTGCTGTCAGATCATTTGCTTCTCTTAAATTTCTGCATGTGAAAAAAGTGTGCAGCACTAGTCTGTCCACTGTCCACTGACTCGTGGCCCGACGTGAACTCCTCCAGTTACAGCCATTTCCATGCTAATGACAGGACCTGGTTCTTCTTTGTGGCTCGGTAACGCTCCACCAGGCATGCATACCCTATTTCCTCTGCCCGTTCATCTCCCGACGGCACCTGGGTTGATTCCTTACCTTGGTGGTTGTGAACAGTGCCACAAAACATGGCCACACAGGGACCTCGCTCATGTGCTGCCTTCGTGTCCTCTGGACACATACCTTGGAGTGCGGTAGCTGGATCCCATGGTAATCCTGTTCTGACTTTTTCCCGTACTGCTACCCACAGCGGCTGTGCCAATCCACATTCCCAACAATGGAGTATAAAGATTTCTTTCTCTCCACATCGTCACTGGCATTTGCAGCTGTTTCTTGATGACAGCCATTCTGGCTGTGGAGGGGGGTTAGCCTTGAAGCTCTGATGTGCAGTTCCCTGGGGGCTGAAGACCTCAAATACTTTTTCACATATTTATTGGCCACTTCATTTCTTTTGAGAAGTGTCTGCTCAGGTGATGTGTCCATACTCTTTTATTGGATTGCATACTTTTTTGTTGTTCTTTATATATTGTGGGTATTAATCCACTGTCAGATGACTAGTTGACACAGATTTCCTCCCGCTGTGTAGGCTGTCTCTGCACGCTGTGGATATCTCCTCCATTCTGCAAAAGCTTTTTACTTTGCTGTGATCCCATCTGTCAGTTCTTGCTTTTGTTTGCTGTGCTTCTGGAGTCCTACCTGGGAAATCACCGTTTGTGCCAATATACCCAAATGCCTCTCCTGCGTTTTCTCTAGTAGTTTCAGAGTTGCAAGTCTTAGAGTCTTTGATCCAATGTAAGTTGATTTTTGTTCAGGGAGCGGAATCAGGATCTGACTTCTATCCTCTTCCTATAAATGGATGCTCAGTCTCCCCACCCATTTGGTGAAAAGGCTGTCCTTCCTCCAATGTGTGATTTTGGCACCTTCATTGAAGATCAGTGAGCCAGCCAAAGGTGCGTGGATTTGCTTCGGTGTCTTCTCTTCTGTTCCAGTGGTCTGTGAACTGTGGTGCTGTGGTCACTATGGCTGTGTAGTATGTCTTAAAACCAGGTACTATCAGGCTGCCAGCTTTGTTCCTTTTTTCTCAGGATTGCTTTGGCTCTTTGGAGTCTTTTGTGCCTCCACATGAATTTTAGGATTTTTTTTTCTAGTTCTGTAAAGAATATCATTTGTATTTTGATGGGGATTTCACTGGACTGGATATCATTTTGTATGGTCATTTTAACAAAATTAATTCTCCCAGTCCATGAACATGGGAAGTTTTTCTACCTTTCTGTATTAAAGTAAGACCCAAGGGCCAGGGATTTAGCTCAGTGGTTCTGGCGCCTGCCTTGCAAGCGCAATGACCCGAGTTCAATCTCTGGTACAAAAAAAAATAAAAAGACCCAGATCTCAGAAAAATATCTGAAAATGTCCAAGTTTCAAGAGAAAATCACTGGCCATACTAAGAACCAGGAAATTTCAACTTGAATGCTAAGATACTAAAATTATCTGACAAAACTTTAAAGCAGCTACAATAAATATGCTTCAACAAGCAACTACGCGTATACAAAGAAATGTTTGAAATATTTCATCAAAGACATCTAAGATATTAAAAAAACCAAGTGAAGATTTAGCATTAAAATTTTTAAGAATTAAAAATAACAAGCAAAAAAACTCAATGGATGAACTCAACAGCAAAATGAAGGGGAAAGAAGGGCCGGGGATTTAGCTCAGCGGTTCTGCCACCTACCTCGCAAGCACAAGGTCCCCAGTTCGATCCCCATTACCCCCCTAAAAAAATGAAGGGGAAAGAATGAACTGGAAAACATAGAGACAGAATGCAAATTACCCAATCTGGACAGTGTGAGAGGAGCTAGATTGAAAGATACTGCACTGGGCCAGGAATTTAGCTCAGTGGCACCACACCTGCCTGGTAAGCTCAAGTCTAAAGTCTGATTTCTAGTACAAAAAAGAGAGGAAGAGAAATACCGCACAGAGCCTCAGTGACCTGAGGGCCTGAAAACCATTTAACACATAACATCATCACTGTCCCGGAAGACAGGAGGAAAGTCTGTGGGGAGGCACTGTCTGAAACCTCGCAATCATGGCAGAAGACAAAAGCCTACACAGTCAAGGATGTGAAAGAGCCCAGAAAGGATCTGCCCCAGGAAACCCATGCCAACACACACAATGGCCAAACTGAGAAAAACTGAAAACAGCAAGAGAAAATGACACTTTCCTTATAGTAGAAGAACAAGTCAAAAGTAGGCAAATTTCTCTGAGACCACAGTGGACAAAAGCAAGTAACACATCTTTCAACAGCTAAAAGGAAAAGAGTTGCCAACCAGAATTCTCTATTAGCAAATATATCCTTTAAGAATGATGGAAAAAGCTAGGCATAGTCGCACATGTCTATAACCCCAACACTAGGAAGGCTGAGGCAGGAGGATCACTGTGGATTCAAAGCATGGGCTACATAGTGAGTTCAAGGCCAGCTTGAACTACTGCAAGACCCTGCCTCAAAAAAAGCAACAGAATAAAGGGAAAGCACGGCATGCTTAGATGAAGGGACACTAACAGAATGTGTCACTAAAATGCCTGCTCTACAAGAGCGGCTACTAGAGCTGGGCGTGGCGGCCCAGTCATCCTAACGCTCCGGGAGGCCGAAGCAGAGGGAGCACAAGGTCAGGCCCAGCCTGGGCAACTCAGCAATTTGGCAATGCCCTGTATGAAAAGTAAATGTATTTAAAAAGTAGCTCACTGCCAAGTCCCTGGGTTCAATTGCCCCGGCCCCCCCAAAAAGACTTTTCGAAGGAAAAGTATAATTTAAGTGATACATAAGGACCTTGAGCTAATTCTTTATTTAAATGTTTATTATTAAAATAACTACCGCCGGGCATGGTGGCACATGCCTGTAATCCCAGCACTCGGGGGGCTGAGGCAGAAGGATCACTGTGAGTTCGAGACCAGCCTGGGCTACATAATGAGTTCCAAGTCAGTCTCAACCACATAGTGAGACCCTGTCTCAAAAAACCAAAAAAAATAAATAAGCAAAATAAAATAAAATAACTATAGTCACAGAAATTTTCAAGGATAGTACAGAGGAGTCCCGCGTACCCTTTTCCTAGTTTCCCCCAGATCACCTTCCATATAGAACTTAGGGCAATACCATTCCGAGACCCTGATACTAGTAGAAAGTGTGTGAGAGAGCATGCCTTTATCATGTGTTCATCCCTATAACCACCACCACTTCCCCCACACAAAATTATTCCCTCACAAACAGGGTGTGGCAGCACACACCCAGGTTCCCGGCACCTATGAGGCTCAGGCAGGGATATAACTACAGGACCTCTTCAAACAGAAAGGTACCATAGCCTCAGGATTCATTAAAATAAAGCTACTCACAGATAAGCAGCAGTCAATTCGCAACAGAAAGCAGTGGTACAAATCTGGAAAATCATGCTATAACTACAGAAAAAATACCAGTTCTACAAAGAGAGGTTCCACCTGAGTTCTCAGAGAGACATTGACTCATCTTCCAGGTCTTCCCAGACCCTTGTGCAGGCCAAATAATCCAGGAAACAATCAAAACCGCCAGCAGATGAATGAACGCACCAACAAGCAAACAGCTGCCTTAGTTTGGTTCACTGAAACAAGAAATGCAGATCTGCATATCCCCTGCCTTACTTCCGAACTATATTTTGAACACTTACCTACAATAAATCTCTACTTGGAGATAAAATGAGAAAAAATTTAGTTTATATAGATAAAATTTCAAGTAGAAGCACAAGGCAGTAATATACCACACCCACATTACTAGGCTTTATTTAAAAGTATTGTAATCTGCAGGGCATGGTGGCACACACCTGTAATCCCAGCACTCGGGAGGCTGAGGCAGGAGGATCGCTGTGAGTTCAAAACCAGCCTGGACTACATAGTGAGTTCCAGGTCAGTCTCAAGTACATAGTGAGACCCAGTCTTAAAAAACAAAACAAAACTGGGCCGGGGATTTAGCTCAGCGGTTCTGTGGCCTGCCTTGTAAACACAAGGACCCGAGTTCAATCCCTGGTACCAAAAAAACAAAACAAAACAAAACAAAAAAGTATTATAATCTTCCTCCCCCGTTTCCTAAACCTTGACCCAACCACCTGTTCACAAACTATCCACATCATAGATAATCCGGAATCCACCAGCAAAGGCTTTGGGCCTGCACTAGAGGCTACTCTTGTTTGTATCTCCCCTTTTCCTTTCCTCTTCTCCCAAATCTCTTCCATGTGCAGATGACCAGGCCTTGCAAAACAAGAGTTTCAACCAGGAAAACAAACTATAAGGCTTACACCCACTACTGGATTCACCATTGGCCATGGGACCCGAGAAACGGCCACCTCATCTGTCGATCCTACAGGCTCCAAAGGGGTTGGGGATGGGTGGAGAACACAAAGGTCAATGTAAGTCATCTGTTAAGAGCTGAGAAGAGCAGAAAACTGAACATGAATTTATATTACATTCCTTTGTGTCTAAGGCTACTGCACCAGCAGATTCAACCAACTTCCAATGCAAAATGTTAAAAAAACTTATACCTGTCCCGAACATGCACAGACTTTCTGGTCGCGACTGACCTGGATACATAAGCAATCCAGACACGGCTGAAAGTACACAGGGAAACGTGCACAGGTTAAATGCAAATACAATGCCACTTATATGAGACCTGAGACCGGCGGCCTAAGGACATGGAGGGGTAACTGTCTATGCCAAGCCCGTGCTAGAAGCTTTCACACTGATGATACTGCTGAATGCTATGGTGTAAGCATAGTCTGCCCTGGACACGTGTAAATCCTGCAGCTCTGCAGCTCAAGGGTATTACGCAGAATTCAAAACAGGCGTGGTAGCACATGCTATAACCCCAGCATTCGGGAGGCTGAGGCAGGAGGATCACCATGAGTTTGAGGCCAGCTGGGGCTACACAGTGAGACGCTGTCTCAAAAAAACAAAAAAGAAAAAGATGTAACTGGGATTCAAACTCAAACTTCCTAGAAATATTCAAAGGCTTATGATCTTTCTGTCACATCCTGCTTCTCTAAATCCAACTTCTGGAATTATAGTTACTCTTTCTGTAATTACTTCTCCTAGAGTACTAACGTCAAAACTAATCAGAGATTGGTGGGTGGGGAGGAGCTAAGGTTACAGGGGATAGGAGTGCTCCTTACCCCTGTACTATTTTGAAGCCCGTCTTCCTCCCTGACCATCAGTCATCTTTTAGGTACAACTGATATCTAAATTCCTTCTAAGAATAAAACACGCTGGACCCCAGGATGTTCTCTGTGTTGCAAATGCAAACATTTAAATCAGAACTACAGAGCCAGACATGGTGTCACACGCCTGTAACCCCAGCTGCTCCAGAGGCTGAGGCACAAGGACCACAAGTTCGAGGCCAGCCCGGGGAACTGAGGGAGGTCCTGTCTCAAAAAGCGAATCCGAGCTACCACAACACTGCCAGCCTTTCCTGAGCAAAGCCTAGCGTGCCAATTCAAATCTGCTCAGCAGCGGCAAGCCACTCCCAACCGTTTCTTTCCATTTCCACTTCACTAAAATTGTCTTTTCCAGGAATGGTTCTTTGTAAAATTTAACAGACTCCTGACCTCACAAACCTCGCCCACCGCTCTCGCCCCGGGATTGCTCCTGCGCGGCTCCGAGGTCTGTGCACCCAGTTCCCCAAGTCCTGGGGTCCGGCGGACTAACACGACCCTGTCGGGCCTCGGCTCGATCCCCACCGGGGGTCCGGGGCACAGGGATGCCTGTGTCCCGGTGCCGACCCGGG